TTTTTTCATTTTTGGCAAAATATACAAAGGCTATAGCCTTTGTGTTTTTAGCGAAAATTGATGGATCCGGATTTCGACGGAAAAGTAGTCGAATCGACAGAGGTGAACCAGGGGACCACAAAACTACTTTTGGTTCCGCCAGAAACCACCCCTGTCCGGAGAAACTTGAGTTTTAAGGGGTGGTCTTTTGGATCTGGCGGTCAGCGTACGATGGGCTGCCTACCTCGCAGGCGAACCGCTCCAAAAACAGGCGTATCTCACTTAAATTGCCCGGTGGCGCGAAACTTTTTAGGGGTGAACCAGGGGACCACAAAACTACTTTTGGTTCCGTCAGAAACTACCCCAGTCCAGAGAAACTTAAGTTTTAAGGGTGGTCTTTTGAATTTTGCGGGTAGCGTACGATGGGCTGCCTACCTTGCATTCGAACCGGTACAAGAAAAACAGGTGTAACTCACTTGATATGGAACGGTGGCGTGAAACTTCGACGCAGAGATTGAAAGGACCAATCCCAACCATTTCAAGCGATTTTCAAATTTTTCATTTTTGGCCAAATTTACAAAGGCATAGGTCCAGTTTTTGACGGAGGAGTACTTGAATAGATAGGGGTGAACCAGGGGCCACAAAGGCTAAGGCGCACTGGCTAAGAACTCTGCTGTAGGTCGGAACCATGATATTTGACAGAGCAACTGAAAAGGGAGTTTGCCCCACCAATCCAAATCCAGCAATTTTCCAAATTGGCAAGATTTTTAACAGACATTTTCAGTGATACCAAATCAGCCTGGATTTTGACAGAGGAGGATTGAAAGCGACAACAAAGAACCAAGGCACCACAAAAAACATCAAAAACCACCCTTTGATGCACATAAAGGAAGCTCCTCATATTGTCTGGACAGAGACAAATTGGACCAGCCTTGGTTACTGTCATGTCAACTCACCTATTCTTTTGGGTAAAATGACTCCATAGACTTCTTTACTCATGTCAAGAACATTTCTGGGCCGAGTTCCTGCAATCATATTAAACTGTACTTTTAGTGCTCATCAACTATTAATTACAT